GGAGCTTGTCCATGCTCCAGTAATTTCCCACAATGTATTATTGTACCCTCTCTAGATTGGTCTTCCCAAAAACCGTATTGCCCCTCTACAGTTTGTAATAAATGCTGCCACCAGACTGATTCCTCTCACACCTCACCCCTCTGTCAGTCCTTACATTACATTCCTGTATCCTATAGGAGTCAATTCAAAGTGCTAACCCATACCTATAAAGCACTGAACAATTCTAGCCCCTCTTATATCTCATCACAGATCCATAGGTATGCCCCTTCTCGGTCTCTCCGCTCTGCCTTCTCCTATCCGCTGCTCACACCCATACGGCTAACTCACGCTTGCAGGACTTCTTCCGGGCACTCCCTTCCTATGGAATAGCCTGCCTAGCATCATCAGACTCTCCCCAGTCTTCAATCATTTAAGAAGTACCTTAAAACCCATCTCTTTAGGAAAACTTATGGCCTCCCAGACTAACCTCTACCACATCTTTCTCTCTCCTAAAGGGCAGCACTCTACTCTCTCCTGCAGCTCTGCTTCACTCCCACCTTATTTGATTGCTATTTCCTGTCCTAATGTGTTTTATACCCCACTTGCTAGAGACTGTAAGCTCATTTGAGCAAGGTCCTCTTCAACCTATTGCTCCCGCAAGTTTTCTTGTAATTGTCTTATTTATAATTAAATCCCCCCTCTAATAATATTGTAAAGTGCTATGGAATCTGTTGGCGCTATATAAATGACAATAATAATAATAATAATGTGTCAATGTAACTGTGTGTGTGTATGTGTACATATTTGTGTGGCAATGGCACACATAGCATATAATCCCTCCCCTCTGCTTGGGAGATAATTGAATCAGATACTGTATTAACTCAATTATCTCCTAGCATAAAAAAACACATGTTTTTATAAAACCCTAAAAGTACTCTAAAAAAAAACATAATATCCCCACAAATGTTACATCCCCTGATAGCCTTGATCTGGGTGACCAACATATCCAAAATCACCTAGATCAGTTCAGATGTTCAGGAATTCTATGGAAGTCACATTTTGACCGACCGACCACACGCATGATCACATGCCCAAAACAGTTCCACAGAATCAGGCTGTGTGGTCGGTCTACTTCGGGGATTCGAAGTAAGATATAAAATACCAAATGAATTGCTTCGGGAGTAGTCTCAGTTTATGTCTCTCGTTCGGGAGTTTATTCTTACCAAACGCCATTCGACTCCCGTTCGAATAACCACACATCCATGGAAGGTAAGTAGTTAGCGGTATTCGTGACGTTGAGTGTCCGATTTGAGTTCCATACACATGACAACCAAACACCGCTCATTGTGCTCGCGGCTTAAGATGGCCGCCGCCATGTGTTCGAAGTGCCACTTGGAATCGCTTTGGGAGTTCCGGAGTTCGGGAGTTCGAAGTGCCGCTTCAAACTGCTTCGGGAGTTCGAAGTGTTACTGTTACAAGTCCAAGTGTTCGGTACATTATTTGGTATATGAACCAGCTGGGGAAAATCTGTTTGGTTAGATTTGTATACCGATCCAGGCAAAGCAAAATTAAACTCCAGGAACAGGGCATCTGTTACATACAGGAATACACAAACAACCTTCACTAATATACTCCATGTAAAAACACACCTACATTCATAGATACCAGGGCCGCCATCAGGGCATGACAACCGTAATGGTTGTCATGGGCCCGGCGGTCCTGGGGGGCCCGGACTGCTCAGGTCGTCCGGGCCCCACATTCAGTGGGTACATACCGGGGTCGCAGGGGGCCCT